ATAATTTATCATTATATTTGTGCTAACGTTTAGTATTATAAAATAAAATAAAAAGCAGAGTCCCGATGGTGACATAATCGACTGCGTACATATTTTAAATCAACCAGCTTTTGATCATCCGAAGTTGAAGAATCACAAAATTCAGGTAAAATAATTTATTTTGATTATCTGTCCTTTTTGTTATATAAATTGGATTTTCTCGCCCACAATTCTGAGGCTTAAAATTGTATTCTATATTCGATGAAGATGAGGCCAACATTCTATCCAAAAAGAAGCAATTTTTCACAATCAAACCCAATTGCTCAATTGTGGCACCAAAGTGGAAATTGTCCAAAAGGAACCATTCCCATAAGAAGAACAACAAAAGATGACGTCTTGAGGGCAGATTCTATCCATCAATTTGGGAAGAAGATCAATCAGACCATTCCTGATCTGTCTGGATCATTATACTCTACTAATGGCCATGAGGTACTAATATTGCCAGTTATCAATTTCTCCAGATTAAAAAAAAAGGATAGAAAATCAATATGTAAGTCCCTCGCTATAATATTTTCACCTCATTTTTCATTCAGTTCTAATTATAGTTTTTCATTTTCATTTGGTCCTTATAGTTTCCTTAATGATAGGTATTAGTCCCTATACTCATTATTTGTTAGTTTGTAAGAGGAAGGGCATGACTAACCATGATGACATGGTTCTCATGCGCTCGACATGCATCTGAATTAATTTTACCATGTTGATTTAAATACAATCATCAAAACCAACCAGATTATAGATTATATAAGGATGCGTAAGGAGACAACTATGAACATAATAATGAATTTTTATGTTGATAATAAAGAAATTTTATTTCATCATCAAAAACTTTTTTATTTTGTATTTTGTGACAACTTACATGCATTTTTAGTTAGTATTCACATAAGCTCTAATTAACAGATTATTAGCATAAGAAATAAAACCTATAATTGGGACCTAGATAAACATCCAGTGAAACCGTAAGAACTGGCCAATTAATTTTTCCCAAAAGACTTATTTGTGTAGGTGTTTTGCATATATTGATTATATCATTATATTTTTCTTTGTTTCGTTGTGTTTGGTGCCTCTAGTATGCCATAGCTTATTTGCGAGGAGATAGATACTATGGAGCCCGGGCATCCATAAACATTTGGAAGCCCCACGTTCAAGAATCCAATGAATTTAGCCTCTCTCAAATTTGGATTGTGAATCGTGATGATTCTAATAAGGTTGAGACCATCGAATCTGGTTGGCAGGTATATATACGACATATATATGTATATATGTTCCGTCTATAATTTCTTGGACATCACATGTATATAGATAAGTCTATTTCTATATTTCTCTTCAAGGAATACTATTTTTGATCTGTCTGTTTCTTGGTTTGGAAAATCAGATCTATCAAGGACTATATGGGGATGATAACCCCAGACTTTTTATATATTGGACAGTAAGTTCAAATCTCTATTGCCAACCTAGCTATAATTTGTTGTGTCCTCAAATAATTGCATTGGTTGTTATATATTAATTACTGTTATTATTTTCAATACATATACATATACATATATATATATATATATATACACCCACACGCCTTTTTCTTGCCCATAGAGCGACTCATATGACCGCACTGGATGTTACAATCTTGGCTGCTCTGGCTTTGTTCAAGTTGATAATAAAATAGCAGTTGGAGGCAGCCTGCAACCATTCTCCGTATATGGTGGTTCTCAATATGCATTCTCCATCCTTCTCTGGAAGGTAAGGTCGTTTTGCAAACAGAAAACCAAACAAGTGTACCAGTACATAAATGATTGATTTTATTGGCTCAAACATAAAAGTTAAATGGTTAAAACTTGAAGAACTATGTTAAATGAGCTAAAGTTCATGCATTGAGTTATAACCAAATCAAAAATACATAACTGATCAATTATGATCAACCCGTTCTTTTTCCTTCTTGCAATAGAGAAAATCGGGTAAAAAGTTTCTATTTGAAAATTTTATTGGCAAGAAAGATCTTATATACTTTTATGCATAAAAAGTACGGGTACTTTGTAGGATTTCATAAACAGAAGATACTTGTACTCAAATTTAGATTTTTCTAGTAAATAAAATTTCTAAATAAGGACTGTTCACCAATTATCTCTTTGTAATAAAACATATAGCCCTTGAGAAATCCAACAATTCATATCAGCAGTAATAAACTCGAAAGAAACCCTAATGGCATAATATCATATGATTCCCTCTGTGTTTGAGAAAAAATATAACAATAATTATGATGATGGATGGGGCAGGATCCAGGAAGTGGAAACTGGTGGATGTTACTTGGGAATAGTATATTTGTGGGATATTGGCCAGCTTCTTTGTTCAATCATATGTCTGGGAGTGCATCAAATGTGCAGTGGGGAGGTGAAATAATAAACATAAGGTCTCACGGCCAGCACACCACAACAGGAATGGGAAGTGGTTATTTCCCTCAAGCAGGTTTTGGAAAGGCTAGCTTCTACAAGGACGTTTCTACTGTTAATAGAAATAATTATCTTGTGTCTCCAAGTAACTTTGGCACTTACGCTAGCAATGCCAAGTGCTATGATATTACCCCATTTGGTCATTCTAATAACTGGGGTGCCTACTTCTTCTATGGAGGTCCTGGAAGAAACCGAGACTGTCTGTAGAAAAACTATATGAGAAGTTTAAAAAGTCTAAATCTATCTTGTTATGTCAAGCAAATAAAGAAAGGAATTGTGGCGTGAGTACTATAACTACGTGATGGGATCTGTATCAGATAAGGCTTGATAAAGACAAGTCCTTATAATTAAGAATGTAATATTATGTAGTGGGACAATATGCAATGTCATATTGTGATATCCTTTGACCCAAAAAAATCAGATTGTGTTACTAGCTTCAGTCTTTAATATAAGACCGACTTGACTAATTTAAAAAGATTAAAAAAGCTAATAATTTTTTTTTAATAAAAACTGAAGCTGCATTAAAACAAAAAACGAGTACATACAACAGAAACTAACAGCCCTATCCTTCATCAACATCTGTCTCCTGAGCAAGAAATGGAGGTTGATCAAGGAGCAAAAATTTCCCGATCCTATGAGCCAACTTAGCAAGCCTATCAGCAATAGTGAGATAATCCTTGTACACATGAGTAATGTTAACTTGCCAATCTCTATGAATATTAAGTCTACCCTCATCCACCGCATCCTTAAAAGGGTGATCTCTATCACAACCTCTAAGGCAAAAATTAATTGCTTCGATACAATCAGAGAATAAAATGATTTTCCTGTGGCCGTATATGAATCCAATTAGCTCTGCAATAGCCTATGAAACTGCAATCAGTTTACAACTAAATCCACAAATGCATCTGTCCTGTGAGAAAGCTACTAAATTACTTTAAAGTATTTTAAATTTATTGTTTTTTTTCCAAACTAATTTGACTCACTTTTGATTTATAATATAACGATACACATGTAATATATGTTATAATTTAGTAATTTTTTAAATCTTTCCAAATTAATTAATTGGATCTTATATTAAGAACTGAAGGTAGTGGTATGTTATAAATGTTGCATACAATGCAGAGGTTCTGCATACGTAAACACATAAATATATGTGTGAGTGTGTATTGTATCATAATATTGACTGATTTTATAAATTACTTTTACATTTCACAAAACAAATTAATTTTATGATTATTACAAAATGTTTATTTAAAATTTCAAATGGTTTGGTTCTTAAAATAATGATATTATGGAAAAAAATAATGGGTAATAGATTAGTACTCTTTCTATCTTCTAAAAAATATTTCTTATCCCACGTATTATCTTCAGGAAATATAATACTTTAAATGAAGATAATTTTAAAATATTTTTATGTTAAGACTTCTCATTTTTTGTATTGGGCCTAACTTGGCCAGTACTTGCCCATCTCAATCCAGACCCAGTCATCCCCAAGCAAGGTTTGAACATGAGCTGCAATAGTCGGACTCGACCAAACCAATCCATACACCGATATGCAAGTCTCTCCTTGTTGTACGGGGGAAATTTTCTCTTTATAACCAATTGAAACACATGAAAAAATTTGTAAGAGGTGTTGTTTTATTATTTGCAAATTGCAAGTCTTCTTTACTGATTCTGCAATCATCCTTAATTTTTAAGGATTTTTCACATTTGGCAACTTGTACTTTTCAAAAATAAATTATAGATTAAATGACCAAACAATTACATATATTTACCGTTAAATAAACCAAATCCCGATGTGGAAAAAGAGGAATTAATCAAATCCCCATGATTGCTGGGTTAGGAATCCCCTTGATCTAGACATTAAAAAATTTCCTTTATTCGATGCTTTTTTTAAGAAAAATCCTAATTAAATCTTGCTGAAATACTTAAAATTAAATTGAGACCTACACTTTTAACAAATTTTTAATTAGGGCATAAGACCTAATTAGGAATTGCTGAATATTGTTAAGTAACTATAATGCCCCTCTTTAGTTAAAAATGAAAATTGATTATTTTATCCCTCTAAAGTGGTTCATCATCTCTTATTATTAATATTTAGACAAAAAAAATATAAATAATTTTTTAGTGTTTGAAATTTGTAATATAACTAAAATCTTCAAAATATTTTCATAAAACATTTCAAATTATAATATATGTAATCTTTAAATAAATATTTTTAATATTTTTTTTCTTTTCAGGTTGTAAATATTTATTTTAAAATTTTAAAATATTTTAATCATAATAAAAATTTAATATTAAATCATAATCATTTACATTTTCAGTTGGATCCAACATTGTTTAAATAAATAAAACTAACGTAAATTACAAGAACTGAAAATAAAAAATATTTATAATTTTACTTATATTTGTAATTTAACATGTTTTATTAAAATATTTTTAATAGTATAAGTTATATATACAAATTTCAAACATTGTAAAATTACTTATATGTTTTTTGGTCTAAAAAAATCATAAGAGATGAGGAATTACTCGGGAGAGGTATATTAATCAAGTTTTCTTTTTAATTGAAGAAGGGCATTTTGGAGATTTAACAACATTCAAAAATCCCTAATTAGGTCTCATGGCCTAATTAGGAATTTGCTAAAAGTGTAGGCCTAAATCTGAATTTAGGTATTTCGGCTGGATTTAATTGGGATTCTCCCTTTTTTTAATCCTTGTTACCAGATTCATCTTGCAAGGAAAATCTTGTCAAGAAGGATAATATCAAATAATTTGAGATTGTAACAGCACAAATCAGCCTATAAATTCCTGTGTCATCGTCTCGAATAACCACTTGGGAACTTCCACAAAGGGTACTCCATATTTCTCACCATGGCCAACAAATTAAGAAATAAGAAGACTTGGGTTGTGTTCTGCTTCCTGTTGCTTTTTGTGCAAATGACGATGCTCAGAAGCTTTTGAAGAAGTTGAACAAACCGGCTGTTAAGAGTATCAAGGTAGACATATGCGTGTGTATATATAAAGCAAGCAAGCAAGTGAATTTTTTTTTTTTTGGGTACTTTTACTGAAAATTTGAAATTATTTGTGGGTTTTACAATTCATGATGCTCTGTGCTAACAATTTGTCTGATTAAATGCAGAGTCCTGATAGAGATATAATTGACTGTGTTGACATTTTAAAACAACCAGCTTTCGATCACCCAAAACTGAAAAATCACAAAATTCGGGTACGAGGTTTCCCTTTTGTTTTACTATTTCTCTGGTTCAAATTTTGAAACCAGGCAATTATTAATTATTTCTCACATGATTGAAGATGAGGCCATGCTCTTACCCAGAAGGGATAGTGTTTGAAAAAAGCAACGTGGCATCAAAATCAGCACCAATTTCTCAACTTTGGCACCAAAGTGGAAGTTGTCCAGAAGGAACCATTCCTATTAGAAGAATAACAGAAGAAGACATATTGAGGACAAGTTCTACCCAACAATTTGGGGAGAAGAATCTCCAGACAAGCCACTTACCGTCATACGCTGGAGGTCAACGTGTCAACGAGGTATCACTAAATGTGGTCTCTCTAATAACCAGACTACAAGCTTAGTGTGTGTTTTGTTTTGTTTATTGTAACGAGCATAAATTCTTAGGAGAATCACACCCCAAAAGCTAGCTGTTAGAGTTGGGGAACAAAGGCCTCATCAGGCCTCTCATTGTAGCCTTCTGATGCGAGATTTATGACATTTATTTGATGTTTTTATATTCTTGGAGTGTCCAGCATGCCTCAATTTTTGTGAAAGGGGATAAATATTATGGAGGCAAGGGAACCATGAACGTCTGGAACCCTAAAGTTCCACAGGACGTGGAATGGAGTGTATCTGCAATTTGGGTTATGAATGATGCCGATAAACAAAAACTCAATGCAATTTTTGCTGGGTGGCAGGTAAAATAAACAATACAAGTTAAGCGTTAGAAACCATATGAACATATACAAACGTATTTTGACTTGCTGGTTTACTTTTTGCACAATCAGGTGAATCCATATCTATATGGGGATAATCGAACCAGACTTTTTACATTTTGGACTGTGAGTTCCAACTTCCAAGTTCTTAGCAGCCCCACAATTCTTCTTCTTGCTTTTTAAAATGTTTTATTAATTTCTGTCATTGATATTTTCTTAATATTTGTGATATGACAGAATGATAATGATAAAAGCTCAGGATGTTATGATCTTCGCTGTTCTGGCTTTGTCTTAACGCTGGAATAGCCGTTGGAAGCACCATCAAACCCTTATCTGTATACAATGACACAAATTCCCAATATGATATCACCATCATGATCTGGAAGGTACCATTTTTCCTTAGTTGTGTCCTCTCTCTTTGCAGGAATATATAGCTTCACCAATTAGAAAATTACATATTCCATATACTTCTCTTTATGTATATAAGTTATACAAAAAGCCACATTAATATTCATATGTTATAAGGCCTTGAATTTAACTCCAACAACTAGCTTTTGAGGTGTGGTTCCTCTAAGAACTTGTGCTTGTTACAAAAACTTGATCTATTTGTCTTTTTTATAACTCCGGCTTACATTGGAATATCAAGAACCGTATAAATATTTTTTTTCTTGAAATAGAAAATTTGCATAATTGATGAGCAGGACAAAAGCAACGGAGACTGGATGCAATATGGTGCTGATAAAGTTATGGGATATTGGCCTTCGTCTCTGTTCACGCACCTCTCTGATAGTGCATCAATCATACGGTGGGGGGGTCAAATTGTAAATGCAGCTACTAATGGGCAACACACCACAACTCAAATGGGAAGAGGGCAATTTCCGAGAGAACATTTTGGAAAAGCCAGCTATTTCAAGAACATTAAATTTGTTAATGGTCAAAACCAAATGGTTCCTGCTGATAACACTTTCCCTCAGGTTGATCGTCCCAATTGCTATGACGTCCAATCTGGCCGTTCTGATGACTGGGGAAGATTCTTCTATTTTGGGGTCCTGGCAGAAACCCTAATTGCCCATGATCTTTGTTTGATTCGACTAATACGATATATCTAAAAGCAATATTAATGGACTGTGATGTTCGAATTTGCCAAATGTTTTATTCATCAATATACGCCTTACAAACTATAAAAAGAGAAAAACTATAAAGACTTCATTAGTGACATGCATATTAATTATCCCTTAATGTTATTACAAGTTCATGCACCTGATCCCTTAATATTATTATATGTTCATCATTCAAAATGCAGCGCACCAGAAAATGGTAAAGTTTGGTGGTAGGAAGTAGTTACCAGTAATAAGTTAACCAGTTTATTGATTATGGTTTTTAGTTTGCCAAGTAATTGAGTCAACTGATGAATCCTATGGCAGTGATTTTAATGGAAATTTTAGTGGCAGGAAAGAGTTACCGGCACGCAATAAGTTAGGTTAACCCATGTGATTGGTTTTTTTTTCTAGTTTATTCAAATCGAATGATCTATCAAATTCCACATATTATAAGTAACTTTATTAGATTTTTTTTAAAGAAAAATTTAGGTGAGTTGGGTTTCGATAGCTTAGCAGGATCAAAGTATACCTCTAGGCTTAATAAGCATTTACAGAAATACTTACACATTGTCTACCAAAAAACCTCCCACATGTTGAACTCATGATCCTGTAGATTATGAGCTAATTCTTTACTAATTGGACCAACTGTTGATAGTAACTTCATTAGATTTCATTAAGACATAGTGTGCACTAGTCTTTTATGGTTCAACTCCAAAAACCCGTATTGAAAATTGATTTGATATATTTACTTTAATTAATCTCTGTCCATTAGATCACCTAAGTTGTGTTTCCTAATGCTTAATTACTTTTCAATCATACTGGCCATTCTATGTTCGGCGATATATCTATATATATATATATATATATATATATATTGCCCCCAATGGTTACTCTGATGATTGGGGCACCCACTTATGATGGTTGCTAATGTTAGCGTGTTTCATAATTTTTGCTTTGTACAATAACATGATAGATTTATTATTTCATTCCGTAATAATATATAAAATTAATATTTTATATTGATTTAAGTAATTTAATTTTTTTTATGATAATATCAATGCCACTAAATTATCAGTTCAATTCATTCTTTATTCCTAATATATTTAAATCTTATGATATGATGAATCAAAGTATATGTGTAAATCTCATCTTTTATTGCATATATTGAAAAATCACAAACTTACTTTATTTATCATTCGTGTATACACCCTTGGACACACACATAAGCATAATAAACATTCTTTCTATCCTATTTTAGATCTTATAAGTTTATTATTATTTATTTAATTTGGGTTATTTTATATCTATGAAAATTTAAGTTATTCTTTTTTATGTCAATCATTGATTTTTTTTGCTTGCTCATAATATTCTTCATATTAGAGGTAATAATTCCTATTAGAGATAATCATGTTTCAGGTATGGTTAAGCACTAAATATGAGCATATTTTTCAGGAGGGTTTTGAACCTCATTATTTCTTCTATGTTTTTTTTGTCACATATTCTTTCTTATATTTAATCTCATCAAAGTTCTCATATTTCTTTTCCATTTTTTTATGATTACAGATTTATAAAATTAATAATCCAACTAAACTCTAAAATTTTGCTAATGATTAGAAATCGGAATTGGGACATACTATGCATATTTCAAATCGAATAGTAAGATATTTTTACTGGGCTGCTCGATCGATAATGTAAATTGAAGAATGATAATGAAGCATGAAGCCTTGGTGGACCAGTGAAAATAAGAAATACACCCCAAATTACCTCTATAAGTGGCCATCGTTTCGTTTCGTGTACAGAACACATGGAGTTAGTGAATCCCATAGCTCTCTAATAATTTTTCTAGCACTATAAAATTTTTACTCTTTCTTGTACCAAAAAAATTTTACTCTTTCAGCAATAAATGTAGGAACTAATTAAAGAATTATTTACCACTTAATTTTCTTTTATCTTCCAAATTTATAAGGCTTGTTTGTTTGTTTTTTATTTTTTTTGTTCTTAGAACAATTTTATAAAAATTTTCTTTAAAATAAGAGTTGAGAATAAAAAAAAATGCTTGAATTTTTTTAAAATCACATTTGAAATAAAAAATAATGAAAATAATCACATTTGGCAGGCCACGGCTGCCACACGCAGTAGGTGAGAAGAGAAGGAGGTTTCACCAATTTTTCAAAAAAAAACAAAAAAAAAAAAAACATGTAAAATTTATTTTTTAGTTTTTAAAACCATATTACTGTATGTTTGTTTTTTAGAACAACCAACTAAAACAACTTATCAAGTATTTTTTTTGTTTTAAAAATAAAAATTGTTTTCAAAATAAGAAACCAAACAAGTTGGTGTAAAGTTGGGGTTTCATCAAAAAATTGTATTTTTCTTTGAATTATCTGTGTATTGATTGAACATATTAAAGTTGGGGTTTCATTAATAGGGTTTTAATGCAAATAATTAAAAAGGATATTTTTGACTTTGAGCAACCAACACTCTTTATATATATATATATATATAAGTAATTAATTAACTTTTTTTTTTTAACATTTGTAAGTTAGTTATATACGTAGCTTCTACATTTTATTCATAACAGAGTATTAATTTAACCCGAATAAAATTTGAAGATGTGGACCCAAAAATTTGGGGAGGAATTTCCAAGTTCCAACATTAATGTACAGAGTATCACGACGTCTAAAGGCTTTTAGGTTATTCAGTTGTCCTGTTCCTACCTACATTATATAAAGTCATGTAAACAAGCAATCATACATTGTTTTGAGGTTATTTATTCTCCTATAGTTTATAATGTATGATTGCAGAGATTTCCTTTACTTGGTGACATTTGATTTAATAAAAAGTATATAAAAGAATTGCACAATCGTATAGCTGTTAAGACTATAAGATATATTTTCTCCTCTTTAAGCTTTGTCCTTGAAAAGGAAAAGAAAGATGGTTTGCATAGGGGAGAATAAGAAAGGATCATCTTACATTAAAATGCAGAATTTGATCAAATGGATTTTATTTCATCTTTTCAGAAAATTAATAGAACGTTATCTCAATAACACTCATTTATATTTCTAAAGTAAATCAATTATTAAAATTGAATAATTTCCAGAGATTAAAAAGAGAAACTTGAAGAAAAACCAGAATTTCAATGATCAAGAAGATACTCAAAATACTAGCGCTAAAAAAAAGGAAAGAAAAAGCTGAGAGAGCTTCCTCATTTAAAACTTTCGGCACAACTCGAGTTTAAATTGACATTTTAGGAAACAGGAAAAGATTTAGATAATTTGCAAAACAATCATTTTAATAACTGTTGGTATTATTAATTAACATTAGAATATCACGCATATGCTTATTTTGTTTCATACCAGCCAGTGTTGGTTGTTTTCTTGTTAAATTATTAAAAGATGTCTCTTCTTGCAAGAAGAATATTTTTCCAAAAAAAAAATAATCGATTAATTTTCCAAACAGCATCGACCATCATATAAATTGTTGCATGAACAAAAAATCTTGAATATCCATTTCAGAATTTTCATTAAGTTGCTTGCCTCATATTTCTCAGCTTCAATTCAATTTTATTATATATATATATATATATAATTTTACCATAAAAGTCAAATGATACAAATTATCAGTTTAATTTTTTATGGATTTTCCATTTTTTATTAAAAAACTAATTTTTTGGAGATAGAGTTCTTTTCAAAAAAAAGAAAAAAAATTAAACTTTTGTTTTGTGTAAGCTTTACGTCTCTATGCAATTTTCATGCAAGATTTATACAAGTATACAGGTTGGTGCCGCTCGGAGGTAAAAGGTTAAGTGATATATAATTAGAACTAATGCTATCACCCAAAACTAATATCATCAAATGTGGAGAGAATTAATGTATAATAATAATTAAAGAAAATTCCTTATTCCAGTAATTTCTACTCGTTGGGTTTTATTTATAAGGTTGAGAGAAGATATTTTTTTTAACCTATTATGAGTTACATCGCTATATTACTCTTTATTTAATATTATCACCCAAAAATAATATTATCAGATGTGGACACAATTAATATAATAATAATAATAACTAAAGAAAATTCCTTATTCCACTAATTTCTACTCGTTAGGTTTCATTAATAAGGTAGGAAGAAAATATTTTTTTTTATCCTATTATGAGTTACATCACTAAATTTTCAACATAGATGTACAATTTTATTCTTTATTTATTATTATGTAGACTTTTTTTTCATGATATATAATGTATATTAAATTAGGGTAGGGTTGGAAAGTTTTTAAATCTTAAGCATGGATAATGAGATTTAATATTTTTCTTGATTTTGCTGTAACATATTGAAAGTAATTTAAAAATTAGTCTAGATATGTATGTGGGTCCATCTTTCATCATATATTCATCTGGCCTTTATTTATACATGCTTCACAGTTTATACAAATAAAAAAATCTTAAATTCCAATAACAATGCCTTAAAATATAACAACTTTTCAACCTTACTTATATTCAACATATGCACTTTTAAAAAAAAAAATAATAACAATATATACACTATAATAAATGAAAGACAAAATAGTACATTAATTCATGTTAAAAATTTAATGATGTGACTTGTAAATAGAACAAAAAAAGTATTCTCTCCCTACCTTACAAATAAGACCAAAGGAGTACTTATTTATTATTTTAATTTGTCAATAGATGCCATTTGCAAGAAAAATCTATCAAAAGGATAATTAAGTAATTTCCGAATATCCCAAATCACCTATAAATTTCTGGTTGATGAACTCTTGGACATGCACTTCAGAATCTTCATTTGGGTGCTTTACTTCATATTTCTTAGCATCAATGGCAAACAAGACTTGGGTGGTAAGTGTGGTGTTCTGCTTCTTGTTCTCTTTTGTTCACATTACAAAGGCAGGTCAAGACAGAGTCGCCAAAGCTAAGGAACTTGAGGCCGCCAAGCTTTTGAATAAGATGAACAAATCAGCGGTTAAGTCTCTTAAGGTATTGTATGATTCATCTTCTTCGACTAGTTTTGATTGTGACATTTAATTATGCACTTTGGCGGTTAATCAAGAAATTTGTAGCATCATTTGTTCTTCTGAGTTTCGATTAAGAAGAAATTATGTTTGGGGTTTATGATTTATTATTGTTTTGGTTAACAGTTGGCGTTAAAAAAAACGCAGAGTCCTGATGGTGACATAATTGACTGCGTCCATATTTTACATCAGCCAGCTTTCGATCATCCCAAACTGAAAAATCACAAAATTCAGGTAAAACATATTAATTTACTATTATGTTTTATTATTGGATTTTCAAACTGTAACTCAATTCTGAGGCCAATTATTGGGTATTCAATGAAGATGAGGCCAACATTTCTTCCAAAAGGAAGGCCTTCAGAATCAAAGAAAATTGCTCAGTTGTGGCACCCAAGTGGAAGTTGTCCTGAAGGAACAATTCCTATAAGAAGAACAATAAAAGATGACATAACGAGGGCAGGCTCTTTCCAACGATTTGGGATGAAGGATAGCAACACCATCCCTAATTTGTCTGAATCACTATATTCTCCCGGAAGCAACCATGAGGTACTTTATGATAATATTGGAAATGTTGGAACTGTAAAATATTTAATGTGCATGTCGTGGAAAACCTTATATTGTTTGATGTTTGCTAATTAAGAAACCTTGCCTTGTGTATAAGCACTGGCTAATGGTGTTGGATTTTAATCCAATATAAGACCTCAAATATTTTGTCTTTCTAGTTATCATTTTTTCTCCAAATTAATTATCTAACTTATAAATTAAATAATGTTACATAGGGATATTTATAGAGATCAGGTCATATTTGTTATAATTAATTAACTTATTCAACTTTCTTGATTTATCCAAATTAGTTGAGTGGCTCTAATGTCAAGAACCAAAGGAAGTAGTATAGTTTTGTTGCAGTGGTAAAGATCTTTTGAGTGTTCTCAAAGACATTAAATATATATACGTATATTACACTTCCCATAAAGAAGCTTGCATTGTTTTGTGTGATTTGCATATTAGATATACTTTTCTTGATATTTGATGGTTTGGGTGGCCCCAGTATGCCACAACAGAAGTGAAGAAAGATAAATATTATGGAGCCAAGGCTGAGTTCAACCCAGTTAGAAGTTGAGGGACTGAGTCTCATAATTGAGTTAAAAGTTGAGGGATCAAAAGATTAATTTCTCTTTTTTTAAATGAGTGAGAAATGTTTTATTAAATTTTGAAACATTTCTGAAATATAATAGTTGTCGCCACTCAACATTAAAAAATTGAGAAAATTGTTTAAAAGGATCTGCTCCGCAAATTTTTGTATAAAAGGACCTGAAAATCATTTTAAGATCAATAATATCCTTTAGGGCAAATAGATATGAGGATGAAATGATGAAATTGTCATTAAATGAAAAACACTACATATAAATTTCATAATATGATCACAAGTTTTTCCTGAAACATAGAACTTTTCCAAATAGTGAAACAATGTTTCCAGAAAACATGTTAATAGAAGAAAATTTTAAGAACACTGGAGAAGCATACATACTATTGAAGAAGACTTACATATAAGACAAGTTGGAAACACGATTCCTTTAGTGGTCATGGAGAAAAATACATACATTTGACAATTGAAAACATGCGTAGAGTGAAAGAAAGATTACGCAAAGGGGAAGACAATTTGTTACATACATTGTTATATATCTCATTTTTTTTCTTTTACGAAAGCCAACACTATGTATGGTTGCCGCGTACATGGATATCACAGATTTAAACATTAAAAAGTGTCTTTATTTTGGTTATCGTTGTTAATCACCAGGTTATTTCCCGGGGAAAATCTTGTCATAAAAAGGACAATAAAATTAATAACTTCACAATGTACTAGGACAAATCAGGCTATAAATTAGTGTCATCAAGTCTTGTATATCCCCCTTGAGAAATTTCACAAACGGTTCTTGCTTGATATTTGTCACCAACAATGGCAGAAAATTAGGAAACGAAATATACCAGCTGGGTAGAGAAGGTGTTCTTCTTCTTTTTCTTGTTTTTGTTTTCTGTGCGGATGATAATAGCAGATCAAGACACAGTTATCAGTCTAGTCATAAACTTGAGGTGATAAACTTTTGAAGAAGTTGAATAAACCAGCTGCTAAGTCCATTAAGGTATGTAATTCATCTCCTGGTTTCTCATCCCATTATGTTTGAAACAGTGAAGAAAATTATTGGTAAGTTTTAGTATTTATGGTAGTTTATGTCAACAATTTGTTTTTCTTAATCCAGAGTCCTGATGGAGATATTATCGATTGTGTCTCTATTCTAAATCAGCCGGCTTTTAATCATCCGAACTCAAAATCACAAGAAAGTTAAGGTGAAACACTTTGCTTGATTGCTTCATATAGATATATATAACTTTTAACACTCTTGAAAAAAAACTCAATCCGATTGATGATTTCATGTTTGAATGAAGATGAGGCCCAATTTTCAACCACAAGAATATATACTTGAAGTGAGTAATGAAATATCTTCAAAATCAAGCCAATCGTTCAGCTATGGCACCAAAGTGGAAGTTGTCCAGAGGGTACTATTCCGATAAGAAGAACAAGAGAAGAGGACATACTTGAGAGCAAGCTCCATGCAACAATTCGGGAAGAAGAATCTCAAGAACGTCGTACTACCCTTAACCCCAAATGGTGGAGGTCAAGGGGGATACGAGGTACGTACTTGTATTGTCCCTACACACACACACACACCCCAAAATGAGAGAGGCTTTAGATTTTGTGTTTCGTTTTGCTTGTTTGATGTATTTTCTTGTTTCTTTGATGCTTTTGGAGTTTCCAGTTTGCCTCAGTATTTATTAAAGGAGATAAATATTATGGAGGCAAGGGAGCCATGAACGTTTGGAATCCTAATGTTGAACAATCCCAAGAATATAGTCTCTCTGCAACTTGGGCTGGAAGTGATGCTGATCGTGAAAATATCGAAGTTATTGAAGCTGGTTGGCAGGTATTCTTTATATTTTTAAACTGAAGATTGAAGAAAAATAATTAAATTAATAATAAGAAAATACTGACATATAAAATAAAACTTTTTTACTTCTCATGCTTTTGTATGCTTGAATATCTGTTGAAGTTATTATGCAATTATCTATCTAGTTAATTGTCGATTTTTGATTTGGATATTTAGGTGAATCCACAGCTAAATGGGGATAATCACACCAGGCTTTTCACATTTTGAACTGTGAGTTCAACTTTTCATAACAGCCCTACATGTTTGATTTGTTAGTTCAGATATTTTCTTAGTCCTTAGAAATTTCTCTCATTTACCTCTGTATATATGACAGAGTGATTCAAGTAAGAACATGGGATGCTATGATCTTCTTTGTTCTGGCTTTGTTCAAGTTTACTCTGCAGTAGCTTGGGAAGCAGCATCATGCCCTTATCCCTATACAATGACACTAATTCCCAGTATCAAATCACCATCACCATCTGGAAGGTTATCATTTACATAATGCCAATTATTAATTATTTGTATTAAATAGGAAGCAAGTAATTTTGATATACTCGAAAGTCAAGATAAAAGATACTCTATCCGTTCCCTAATGTATACAGGAGCAGTTGGAGATTGAATTTGATTCTAAATACAAGACCTCAATTTATTTTGTTTCCCATATTTATTATTTTTCTACAAGCTAATTTACTTATAAAACTGATATAGTGTTACACAAGGGTATTTATGGAGATCATATCATATTTGCTATAATTAATTAATTAATCCAGCTTTCTTAAAATACTCAAATCAGTCAAATAACTCTTATATCAAAGACTAAATGGAATATTATTTTTCCTCAGAATTTTGTAAAATGCCTCACATATTGAAATGTAGAACTTTTCAGAAAGTGCCTTGTATTTGAAACAGAGATAGTAATTAATAATTGTGATAATTAATGAACAGGATCAAGGCAATGGAGAATGGTGGATGCGATATGGCACTGATCAAATTGTGGGATATTGGCCTTCCTCTTTGTTCTCAAGTCTATCAGACAGTGCAACAGTGATAGAGTGGGGAGGTGAAGTAGGAAACTCAGGAACTAATGGACAACACACAACAACACAAATGGGAAGTGGGCATTTTGCAGGGAAAAGCTAGTTATTTCAAGGATATTAAATTTGTTAATGGTAACAACCAAATGGTGACTGCTAATAACGTTGTGTCTTACGCTGACCGTTCCAATTGCTACAATGTACTCCAACCTGGCTATTCTGATAATGTTTGGGGCAGCCACTTCTATTATGGTGGTCCAGGGAGAAACCCTAATTGCCCAGGATCATCTTAGCTTCAATATTGAGATATTTTGATAGATCGAACAAGATGTTGTTATACTCCTCTGGTCCTTAATATAACACCTATTTAACTAGTTTGATTATATTAATGAAGTTAGGTAAGTTAGTTAATTATAAGAAATACTACTATGACATATTTTTCCTAAAACACCATAATTATCTTCCTTAATATCCTCCTCCCTTTTCTACTTGATTATAGTTGAGGGAGTATTCAAGGGTAATATAGGAAAAATTGATAAATATGAGAAATAGGTCTTATATTTAGGACCAACATCAATTCAACAATTAGGCCATATATTAAAGACCAGAGGAGTACTATATTTGAATATAAATTTAGTATGTATTGTTGGTGATGAATGGTGATGGCAAAGTTGTGAACTCATGCGTTGTCTCAGTTACAGAGTATTTTTCACCCAATATTAATCTCCCAAAAAAGGTTAGAACGCTAGGAAAAGTTAGAATTAGGGTCCGTTTGGATAAAATATACTTTGTGCAATTTTTTTAGTATTATTAAAAAATGCAAATTGTTGAATCTGTCTAGAATTTTTAGTCTAAAACGTTAAAAAAACAACAACAACAACATTGGATAAGTAATCAATTAATATAGATATTTTTTCCCTCCCCCCCCCCCTTCTTATAATGGATATTTTTTCTTCTTTTAGCAAAGGTAAGAAAAAGTTTAAATTTTTCATTTTCAAGTTATACTAGTAAGAGAAAGAAATCGTAGAATTCAAAAGGCGGTCAATTATTAGGCATTGGATCTCAGGTTAAGAGCCCTGTACACTCATCATTATTTGGTATGCAAGAACCAATATCTGTAACATAAAATTTAAATCTCTAAAAGCTTCAATCATAAATAGTATGACTCATTTTTAAATTTCTGCATTATATTGATCCACACTAGTTGAAAGGCTAACATATTAAGAAACATAATTAAGAGTGAAAAAGGGAATATAATAAAAATTATACATGTATTTCTTTTTTTCCGGGAAATAAGAAACATGGCCCCATATTATACCAAGCAGGGTAAATGAATCTTATAGATTACAGCATTAATATTTTTCTTTGTCTGTCTTGTTGCCATTGTTACATCCGGATCCAATTTCTCAGGATAATCTTGCCACAAGATCAAGCACAACAAAATAATATCAGACTCTTATAGTACAAATCATCCCATAAATTTCCGTAACATCAAGTTTTGAACATCCACTTGAGCATTTTCATATAGTCGATTGTTTCATATCTCTCATCTTCAATGGCAGCAAAATTAGGAAATGGGAAGACTTGGCCGGCCAATGTGGTGTTGTGCTTCTTCTTGTTGTCTGTACACATGAACGAAGGTCAAGACACAGTCAACAATGGCCAGGAAGCTACTTCTAGTCAGAAGCTTGGGGTTGATAAGCTTTTGAGGAAATTGAATAAACCAGCCGTCAAGTCTATAAAGGTATATATAGACAGTATATTCATCTTCACGTTTTTGATCAGCAGGTTATTTTTCCTTGTTTTACTGAAAATTTGAAAATTATTTGAGGATTTTAAAATCTATGATCCTTTGTGTTGAAAATTTATAATATTTGCTAAAACCAGAGTCCTGATGGAGACGTAATCGACTGCGTCTCAATCCTGAAGCAACCAGCTTTTGATCACCCGAAACTCAAAAATCACAAAATTAAGGTGAACCAGATTACTTTATTGAGATTCCTCCAACCCTTAATTCTCCAGTCCATTTGGTTTCTTGGAGGCACAAGATATTAATCCTTCTGTCCCTCATAACTCCTGCTACTTCCATAGATTTCTCATTC